TTGAGTATTTACTTTGAGTGATTACTTTGAGCATTTACATTGAGCAATTCAATTCTTGTCTTTACAATTCATAGAATTGCCATGCTAGAGTAGGATTGGAACTTAGGTTGCAAGTCTTTTGTGTGGTAGAACAACTAGAAACACTTTTTAGGCACAAGGGGTTAATTGGGTTAACCGTAGGATTTAATTATTGCAAAGAAATTTAGAATTAGCCCAATTCACCCCCCTCTTGGGCATCTTGATCCTTTCACCTACGTCCAGTCTGTTGCTGCTCGTGTTATTAGTACCAAAAAAGGTTCATAGTAGGGGGTACAAACAGTCGAGAGAGGGACAGGTCCTAAGTCTCTGATGGAAAGGTCAAAAGGACACCAAGAGCTTGGTTGCTGCTTGGCTGTATGTTGTGTGTCAAAAATGATCGGTCAAAAGTCAGTCTCCTTAGTGGGGTGCCCTGTCCTCCCTTTTATAGACCAAGGGGGAGCCAGGGTTACAGATGGGAGAAAGAGGAAAAAATCAAAGGTAGAGAAGGTCCTTCGGGGGAGCCAGGTCTTCCTTTTCCCGTGTGCCTGCCCTGCTAACATGGCAGACCGTGTCAGGGATGGCGTGTTCGCTGATCCTTATAGGGCCATGCCCTGGCCTCTGTCAGCAAGGTGGCTGCGTCCCATCCTACGTCGGCGGATGGTGCGGCGTGTCTAGAGGGCTAAGCTACGGCCCTTTGGGGAGTAGACGGGGAAGTGACCCTACGTCCGTCACTGTAGGTGATGTGAATTCTGTCTTGGATCGTAGTGGTTGTCGCATGCTTGGGTTAGTATCCGTGTCGAGGGCTGATGGCGGCGCCTACAACACTATGGGACAAAAGTTGGCGCCTACAACACTGTTCGGGCACTGTTAGGTCGGAAATGGCTTAAAGCGCCCATCCCATCGTATCCTGGCGGTGCCTTCCTACAGGCGTACAGGGCATGGCCCTCGATACTGTGGTTGACTCGAATGTCCTGTCGTACCATGTGCTCGTCTTTATGAAGGATCAGGGTGTGGCGGAGCTAGCCCTCAGTCATCGGGCGAGGCGGAGCTAGCCCTCAGTCGTCGGGCGAGGCGAAGCCTACCGTCGAACGTCGAGTGAGGCAGGGCTAGCCCTTAGCCGCCAGGTGAAGCGGAGCCCGCCCTCGGACGTCGGGTGAGGCGGAGCCCACCCTTAGCCATCGGGCGAGGCGGAGCCTAGCCCTCGGGGGTCGGGCGAGGCAGAGCCCGCCCTCGGACGTCAGGCGAGGCAGAGCCAGCCCTTAGCCATCGAGCGAGGCGGAGTCTAGCCCTCGGGGGTCGGGCGAGGCGGAACCAATCTTCCGTCGTTCGGGCAAGAAGCGCAGTAGCGTTCTTGTCTGACCGAAAGTGTCAACGTTCAATGGTTATTAGTTCCACCTCATTGGGTACCTCGGTATTAGGTCTCCGACAACGCCCAAGCGGAATTGCCGGAAAAGAAACGAAAACAATTTGCGTCGATGACGTGCCATCGCGCCGTGTGGCTGTGGGCGGGCCGGAGCGGAGCGAAATCTACCATGGAAGGGGTCGTTTGGTATGGCTCCCAGGTAGCTCCCGAAGCCGTTTTTCAGCTCTGGCTACCAAACGGATCTCCTCGCACGGAGCTGTCGGAAAATCGCGCTCTCACATTGCGGTTTTGGAAGGTGGAGCCAGAAAATGCAGCTCTCATCGGCTGCTTGTCAGGCGCGCGTGGATTTGGCCATGGATACCCCTGCCTTCTTCCTCCTTGCGCATGGGCAGGCGAGAAGGTTGTGTGCTGGCATGGTGGGCCATGGGGATGGGGTGGTGTGCAGAGCAGAGTAAACGAGCAAGCAATGGCAGAGGAGCACGGAGTGACTGCAAGCGGGAGCACGGAGCGACAGCGCGCGACGAATTGGCGGGCCAGAGTCGAGCGGGCGGTGCGTGAGAAGAGGAGAGAATCTCGGAACGGACGTGCTGTGACTGTGCGGTGGTTGAGTAGATAAGGTAGCAGATAAGATTGGGGAGGGAATAGTAGAAAAAAAGATAAAAAAAGAAGAAAAAAGAAGGAGAGTATTGTGGACATTTTCTCATTTTCAATAACATGAAGAACCTATTTTGTCAAACGATCAAAAATTATTTCAGCTTTCTAGGTAAATATGCTCCTATAGCGAAGATACAACTGAAACTATAGCGAACTGAGGCCCCGTTTAGTTCCGAAATTTTTGGTTTTTGGCTACTGTAGCACTTTCGTTTTTATTTGGCAAAAATTATCTGAAACTATTTAAGAAGATATTAACTGAAACACATTTTTTGTTCGTAAGATTTGATGTGACAGGGAATCTTGAAATTTTTTTATTTTTGGCTTGAAACTAAACGGGGGCTGAAACTATAGCGAAAATACAACTGAAACTGTTTTGTTCGAAGCCGGAGCCCTAACAAACCCGCCCCAAGTCGCCATCACCATCAGTTTTGCGCGAATCCCGCCGCGCGGGTGCCATTACCCGTTGTCGCGGTGCGTGTGCGCATTTGATGCGGTTGGTGCGGATTCCTGGCAGCTGCAAGCACCATATGGGGCCATAGGGACCGTGGTGGACTGGTGGCCGTGGCCGGGATGACCGGGTGGGGTGGGTGTACTGGGTGGGCTATTTTTTTAGCCGGCTCGGATAAGAATATGCTTCCGTTGCTCGCCCGATCGTCTGTACAGCATGGCTTTCTCTGATTCCGAACTTTTTTTTATCGTCTTCCTCTGCGCCTTTTTGTTTCTACAAAGGCTGTGATGAATTGATTTGAGGCGATTGCTGAGGTCGAAGGCTGGACTGGACAATCGTGTGTTTTCCACGCGCTAACTGCAGTTTAGAGAGCTAAGCTTGCACACTGATCTGCCCGGTTCAACCCATCTTTGGACTTTGGGTGGCCGTGGTCTGCCACCGGCACCGAGTCATATACTGTCTGACTAAAACTGGAACGAAGGTTTTCACAAAGATGTCTTTGCGGCTCGTGTTCAGACGCCCGTCTTTGCGCCAATAAAAGTTCCTTATAACACCTGTAGGACCAAACGTTCAGATTCAGATCAGGCTGCCAGGGTTTTCAAAGTCGTGATGTATGTATGGGCACCACGTTCTGCTCAGGAAAAACAATCAGGCTGCCCAGGTTTTCAGAGTCGTGATGTATGTATGGGCACCAAAACAATATGCGGCCTGTTCGGTTGGCTGGTTCGTATCGTTACTGGTTCGTGAAGAAATACTGCTGAATAATTTGTGTGAGAAAAAATATTATTCCGACTGAAAATTTACGATCGTATACTATCGTTCACCCCAGCCGAAACAGGCCGCTGGCTGCCGCAATGGCTGATCGTGCACTTCGGTTTTGGCTTTCGGTTCTCGGCAGCTGAAGCAGATGGGGCGCGTTCGGCTGCAGTTCCTGCTGGCTGCCGTTGCAGTTTTGTTGTTTGCTGTAGCCAATAACTACGGACTACTGTAGTATGAATGAATTGAAGGCAGCCGGTGGAAGTTGCAGCGAGCATAGATGGAAAGAAACTTTTGAAGAGTTGCTGCAAGCATTTCTTGCTCGTCCCGTTTGTTGGAATAAAAAAAATTAAGGCATTGTTTAGTTTCTCCTCCTAAAATTTACTCTCTATCACATCGGATGTCTGACACATGCATATAGTATTAAATATAGATTAAAAAATAATTAATTACACAGATTACGACTAATTTATGAGACGAATTTTTGAAGCCTAAGTAGTCTATGATTTGACAATGTAGTGTTACAGTAAATATGTGGTAATGATGAATTAATTAGGCTTAATAATTCGTCTCGCATATTACTGATGACTTCTATAATTTATTTTATTATTACTATCAAACATTTCCATATGGCATTCTTATGTGACACCTGATGTAATATATCTAAACTTTACTCCCTGAATTTAAACCACACGTAAACTTTACTCCTTGAATTTAAACCACACGTAAACAGAAACGAGAACAAGCTTCTGAGCTTGTGACTTGTGACCGTGAGAAAAGGATCACGAGGGGATGAAAACTTGGACCGAAACTTCTGAAGGAGGAGAAACGAATCTGTGCCAGTGGTCTGGTGTTACCCATTGCTGGTCGTCTGATCGTTTCCAACACGTTCACGGCAAGGTGCACGGTGTACCATTCGCCAGTAAACATTGCAAGGACAACCAATTGCCGCTTGCGCGCAGTGGAGGCTGGACATTGAACAGTGCGTGGGGATAGGATGGATCAGGCCGGTGGCACTCTGCTCGAGAATAGTGGCCGGCGTTACTATTTCAGCCGTCCAGGGCCACCGACCGCGCGCCTCACGTGGCCCGCGCGTCCGTGAAGCCGTGAACCGTCGCCGTTTAGGGCGCGTTTAGATGCAAATTTTTTTTTTCCTACTGTAGCACTTTCGTTTGTATTTAATAATTAGTGTCTGATTATGGACTAATTAGGTTTAAAAGTTTCGTCTCGCGATTTCTCACCCAACTGTGTAATTAGTTTTTTTTTCGTCTACATTTAGTACTCCATGCATGTGCTGCAAGATTCGATGTGATGGCATGTGCCGCAAGATTCGATGTGATGGGTAATGCGCAAATTTTTTTAACTAAACACGCCCTTAATCCGCAAGACAGAGGGCGGGGCCACAGACGAAATGACCAAAATATCATCACTGCATTCTCCTCTCCTAGCAACTTTGCAAGGGTAAATTAGTGAAATCCGATGAGCCCTAATGGCAGAGAGGGCAGGCCACACGGACCAATCATGCCCGTCCAAATGTACATCCTTTCCGACCGCACGATCGCTTGGATTGACGGCCACGAATGCATCCTACGAGAAGCTTCCCTTTCTCCTAGCAATCCTCCGCCCTCATGGTCGTCACAATATAAAACCCCGGGGAGCGTGGCGGCCATTTGCCCCCAGCATCTCTTGTGAATCGTGATCCTCCCTCTGCCTCGTCGTATCCCATCGCATTCTGCGATTCGAAGCTCTCTGCTCGCAGCCATGGCGAAGAACTACCCGACCGTGAGCGCCGAGTACAGCGAGGCCGTCGAGAAGGCCAGGCAAAAGCTCCGCGCCCTCATCGCCGAGAAGAGCTGCGCCCCCCTCATGCTCCGCCTCGCGTAAGCCTCCATCCACCTACCTCCCGTCGCCCCTGCGCGAGCGTTTCTATATCTCTGTTGGGGAACTTTTCTGGTCGTCTGATCTAGGGATCTCGTTTGATCGCGCAGGTGGCACTCCGCGGGGACGTTCGACGTGTCGACGAGGACCGGCGGTCCCTTCGGCACGATGAAGAACCCGGCGGAGCTGGCGCACGGCGCCAACGCGGGGCTGGACATCGCGGTGCGGCTGCTCGAGCCCATCAAGGAGGAGTTCCCCATCCTCTCTTACGCCGATTTCTACCAGGTCGGTCCCCGATGTCGCATCGATCTGGTTGGATGATTCGATCCGCCCGAATGGATCCGCGTTTTGACAGCGTACCTTTCTCTCTCTGCTCCTTTTGCAGCTTGCGGGAGTTGTGGCCGTGGAGGTCACCGGTGGGCCTCAGATCCCCTTCCACCCCGGTAGGGAGGTCAGATTTTTCATCCAATTTTTACTGTATTTGGGGTTTAGCCAGGGTTTAAGCTCTTGTTTCGAAATCTCCGAGGAGATGGGTGCGATCTCGTTTAGTGAGATCGTGGTTGTTTACTCCAACTAGTACCACCGATCTATTTGCGTTTTATCATCTGTTTCGTAGATACCTCTTACAAACCATTTATTCCTGGCATGCTGCAAGTAACCTTTATTTTGAGATTTGTGTCCACGCGTCTTTCTGCTCTGTGGGTTCATTGTTTCGGCTTGACGTGGCCACTAGTTTAGGTACTGTAGTGTTCGTCAATGTGCGCTAAAAATAATTTAGCGGTTTACTGTAGTGTTCGTCAAATATATGAGACATCTTTCAGTATGTGTACAGTATAGTTCATGATTGTTTTGTACCCATTCATTCCTTGTCTCTTGTAGACGTGATAGGAGTCATATTAGTAACTATAATGCTTGTTTCCTACTTTTTCGTATGATGAGTATGGATGTCACTAATAACTTATCAAAATTTATGTTTAGAAGCTGTTTCTGACATCAGTGGTTCCTTTTTGCTGGTTTGCAATTGGAGAATGTCCATATAGCCTTCCTTTTGCAAAGTACTATTGAAATGCTGGACTTAGATGGGAAAAATAATCGGTCGTTCTATCCTTTTGTATTGGTGTTCTCCATCCAACTTTTTATTGCTTTGAATGATGATATATACTTATTTCACAGTACCTGTTGGATTCTTGTCATCCTGCGCATATATTGTGTTGAGTAGGTAGGTCATGTGATGAGGTATGATAGTGTTGTCAAACCAGTTTGCCCTTATCCTGTTATACATATATGTGTTGGGCAATGCAATACCATATCATAGGTCTCTGTCTCTTTATTGTGGAGGTCCACTTGTGTTCTTGGATGCACTTAATTTTCATGCCGTCTAGATAGTTCTGGTTGCTTTATCCTGATGGTGATGTGCATTATGCAGATTATGCACACATATGGACCCTGTTGATATGTTGTCAAATTATACAGATAGACCATAAACTTTCTGCAAGGTGTCCAAAGCTGATACTATTTTCCCTTGATTTGTCATTACAATGTGTTGGGTGACAATTAGTTAACATTTGGTGATAAAGTTGTTCGCTTCCCTTTTCTCTTGTATTTCTTATAACTATAGAGATAGGCATGACCGGTTGATAGTATTATTTGTTCCATGCCTTTTTTGTCATCAGTGTTTGTCACTGTAAGAACTTGAGTATTTACATCTTTCCTTGTCTTTTTCAGGACAAGCCTCAGCCCCCACCGGAGGGCCGCCTTCCTGATGCCACTAAGGGTAGATCTCTAATCTTCACTATGATTGTCATGAATGCTGAATTGATTGGCTATACTCACCATGTGTCCTTCAAGGCTTTGATGTCTCTTTTATTGACACACATGGAACGACTCTTATTCCTTGCTCGCTGCTTTTTTTAATCAGGTTCTGACCACCTGAGGCAAGTATTTGGCAAGCAGATGGGTTTGAGCGATCAGGACATTGTTGCCCTCTCTGGTGGCCACACCTTGGTTTGTTACTGGCCACTCTCGTTTGCTTCAGGAATGTAATATGTATGCTTGCACTGATTTAGTTTTCTCTGAGGTTTTCTTAGGGAAGGTGCCACAAAGAGCGGTCTGGTTTCGAGGGGGCCTGGACTACAAACCCTTTGGTCTTTGACAACTCTTACTTCAAGTGAGTCCTTGTCTTGTTTATTTACTATTGACTATTGAAAAGCAACTGCATTCAGTTAAGAAATATTTAGAATTTGTTTACCTTTGTTATGTCATTCCTGGGCAGCTGAATGCTATACTAGAAATTAATAGCTATCCCGTTCCTCCTGAACTATTTCCGTAGGGTACTTCTGAGTGGTGACAAGGAGGGCCTTCTTCAGCTCCCAAGTGACAAAGCCCTGCTGAGCGACCCTGCCTTCCGCCCTCTTGTGGAGAAATATGCTGCGGTATGCCCTCCGTCATTGTTAGTAAGGAGATCTGTAGGGAGACTAGTACTGATTATTGTGTGCCTTGTAGGATGAGAAGGCATTCTTTGAAGACTACAAAGAGGCCCACCTCAAGCTCTCCGAACTGGGGTGAGTAACCACTGTTTGCACAATTTGTACTTGGTCAGTGGAACAAATCTGATCGTTTACTCTTCTGGAATGCAGGTTTGCTGATGCTTAAGTGTCCCCTATCCAGGAGTGATACAAACGGCTGCCTGCATGGAATCGTGCGATCTTTTGCATCTGGAGTCAGTGTGAACCTGCAGATTATCAAGTGTCTTCTCTGTAATAAATTTGTCGCTATTGAGCCCTTAGGCTGTTCATGGAACTTTGTCTATGGTTGAATGGGGACCCTTTGTCCGATAGCCTAGACTCTGATGCTGTATGCAACTGAAACTGGTAGATCTATGATCTTATGGCTGCAGTATTTTCTTGTTACGTCGCTTTGATTTCCGTTGGGTTCGGTTCACAGGTTGTGTTTAAAAGGCTGTGCTTGCGCTGCGTGTTCTGATCCTTTGTGGTTGTGTGTGTAGGGCGAACAATTTAAGTCCGATCTGTACGCGAGTTATATTTTCCATATTTCTCTGGGCGGCTAATACGCTTGCTTTGCTTAACGATCAGAGTTTTTATTTTAGCATCACAGAGCTTTCATAAATCATTAACCTCCCGACAACCAATCTAGGATATAGTCAAGCGAAAAAAAATGAGAGCGCTCTATCGCTGACATCATGCTTGCACAGCCATGGGCTACCGAGTTGGCATCCCTACACACTCAACTCGAAAATCAACAAAACTCATGTCTAACTCTGTCGCTAGCTCCAATCAACCTCCGGGAATACTTGATCATAGCCATTCTCTGCCGCTAGCTCCGGCCCTTCCTTTGACGCCATGGCCTCGATTGTCACGTCGTCATACCACCGTGCCGCCGCCGATTGCACCCGCCCCAAATGATCGCGGATGACCACTCCAGCGCTACCAGTGCATGTGTTTGAAACAAAAGCTGCGTCGGTATTGACCTTAAACCAACCTTCTTCCGGCCGCTTCCATTGCATCACGCGTCTCGGCTTTGCCGGCTGGGTAGGCACCTTCAGCGAGGCCAGCTCCTTCAACAATCAGAGTTGTGTAGTCGATCTTTGCCTCTGCGATCAAAGTTGTGTAGTCGATGGGCACAGGTCGCGTGTTGGCGGAGCTGGGGTTGGTGCATTATCGGGTGCGTTTGGCAAAGCAGGATCCGTTCTGCTTCATCGAATCGGCGAATCGATCGAAACGCTGCCGAATGCATTTGTGGCGCACGGTTTTCATGCGTGAAACGTTCCTCGATTTCTGCTTGTAGGCTGGAAACGCCCTGATGCTGGTTTTGCAGTGATTCTGGTTTTCAATTCCTTAAATTTCCTACCGACTCGAGGTGTTTATCCTCTCAGAGACAACTCACATAAACGCATCTTCCCAGCAAAGGCGATGCTCACGGGCAGCAGCTCCTCCAAAATGCTAATGACATCGGCAAGTGGGAGTAATTTTTTTGTGGCCCAACAGTACATAAATAGATTAATTAGTACACTGATTTTTCTCCATGATCAAGAAAAAACATCACGTGTCAAGAGCACACTGGTCCATTCACTACATTCTTCTCTTCCGATGACCTGAATCTAGCCAACTAGTAAAACGAATTTTAGCAAATAAATAATTCTATATCTTCTAAGAAACGTTTCTATAGAGACGTTTCTCTCAGAGTCTAGAATCTAGATCCCTACCCGATGATCCCTAAGAATTTGTTTATGGCCCTGTTTTATAATCCGTACTTTTCAGCTTGTTTTTTCAGTCGGAATAATGTTTTTTCTCACAACAAATCAGTCGGAACAGTGTTTCGGCTTGTTTTTTCAGCGAAACGAATCGGGCCTATATGAGATTTAGAATTTAGTTACTTTAGATTTTTCGTCTTTCTCGGTGTACTGCACAGCATGTTGTAATAGAGTGTCACATGCTGACATGCTGTGAAGGACCAGGTGACCTGTGATTCAGCTGAGTCATTATGTTGATAAGCTGTAAATCTGTAACAGAGTGGCGAACGCTGTGAAGAACACGGTGGCCAGTGATTCAACTGACCCATTAAAGTTGATGGAATTTATATTCCAGTGATTCTGCTAACTCATTAAGTTTGTGGAATTTATATCCTGTTCCAACCAAGGTACTTCCTCCAGTCTCAAATTATAAGATGTCTTGGTATTTCTAGATTCATAGTTTTTATTGTGTATCTAGACATAATATATATCTAGATGCGTCGTAAAAATTATGAATCTAAAAAAATCAAAATATCTAATAATTTGGAACGGAGAGAGTAATAAATAGTGCGACAATGTCTTCATAATGGATTAATGTCAGCTAAAGTGGACTAAATTCTAATAGTGGAATAAAAAATAGTCAAAATTTAGAGCATATACCAAGGATTAATATCATGTTTGCTTAAATTATGTATAAGATTTTAGTTAATTATTGCATTTAATGGCATAACATCAAATCAAAACAATATATGAATGATATCATTAATCATCCCATCACCTTTTTATCATGGTTCAAATAACTATTTTAGGAATTTTATTATCATTGGAATGATTCACATTGTCATTATAACCATCCACTCCACGTAGTGAATAGCACCCCAACAACAACAATCGCGGGCGCTGAGTTCTAGCATGCTATCTTTGGCCCGCTAGCTTGTAGCGGTAGAGGGCTGCTATCTCTATAACGGCTACTGTTGTGGGGCTACCAATGCTATTTAGCTAGAGTTCTGACAAAATTATTTAAACTTCACAATTTAGTTGTGTTTGTTGTCTGGATACTGGCCTCATCATAGTTTTACCTATAGGCCAGCTCTAGGCAACTGTCAATTCTTCTGAATATATTATGTATGAGCTACCTTAATGACTGCTCCATGGGTTGTAAATTGTAAGGTGTTTTAGTTTTGTTTTACATCAAACTTTTTAAGGTTTGATCAAATTTATAAAAAATATCCAAAGTTGTAAAATATCAAACTAAAGTCATTAGATTAGATACACCATGAAATAATTTTTTGCATTTATTTGATATTGTATTATTGTAAATTCGTTCCTCTAGCCGTTCCGGTTTGACCATTCCGTTTCCTTTTTCAAACTGCACTTCTTTTCATATAGCATCCCCTTTTTCAAACTGCACTTATTTTCATATAGCATCACTAATCAAATAGAGAATAACATCCATTTTGAAACATTTATAAGGGACATTAATATTAATATTATTTTCTATAATTTTGTTTAAAGATGGACAAGTGTTTATAACTTAGAATAAATCTATAGGGACTTATAGTTTGGAACTGACGAGTAGTTCGGCCGTATTAGATTACTGCTTGCAAAAGTTAGCTACTACTACAAACAAGACCTGTGCTCTGAATCTGAACAGCTGCATGACTCGGTAAGAAGCTGCTCTAGCTGCTTGGCAGACAAAATTGTGATTCTGTATGCCCGAGAAACATGACCCATAGTCCAAACCTCTTATTCTTGGTACAACTCATTACAGGAACGCCTGAATCCTGCGGCAACAGAGTACACAGCCTTACAGAGAGGGTGGTGGGCTCGAACATCAACAAACAAACAAATGCAATGTTCAGTCTACCCCAGCTCTTCAATCTTTTTTTTTAGGAAACTGGAGGGGCCGCAGCCCCAGCTCTTCAATCTTACTTATGCCTATGTACAAACATTGTGCATAAAAGAGGAACCATACATCTAGATATATATCCAATCTAATATCGGAAATTGGGGTTCATTTCGATGGCCTCGTCGAATATCAGCTGCTTCATTTGGTCTTCTGTTAGAGCCTGCTGCTCGAAGTCGAACGAGAATGGCTCCGTGCAGATGGGCTCGTCGGCGATGTCGTGTAATCGCTCCAGGTACGGGTGCTCCAGCGCCTCTTCAACTGCATGACAAAACAGATTCCGGTGAGAAATCTGAGAGAATGAAAGCAGTCATTCCTGAGCTCTTACAGTCATTGTATAACTATATACTGTTATATAATAGTCTAAAACCAACGAAGGATAAGAAATAAATAAAAACTCTGCTAATCTATGAAACGTTTAGGGGAAGGGGAGTCTCAGAAGTAAACTCCGCTAGTCAAGACAGCTGCCTGCCAGTAGAGGAATCCAATATTTAAGATTATCGGTAGCCTTTGTTTTTTCCCATCTTATAAAACATGTTTAGTTTTGTATGTACAATAGCCGTCATCGTCACTTCGGCAAAAGCGATATGGAGGAGGCTACAAAGCCGAGGATGGGTCAAAGCAACAGCCCCCCAAAAGAATGCAAAGGTAGGAGGTAGTAACACCAAGATTTTGCATGCATATGGAGAAAGCTCCACAGCGAGTACAACTTTGGTGACCTGGATGCACAATGAGAATTTATAAATGCAGAAGGAGAAACAGGTAGTTATAGAGAGTGTAATTTTTGTTTTAATAAAGTGTACGAAGTTAAGCCATGTTTGGATAGCGATGGGGATTAGGATAGGAATACGTAGCCATTCATTCTCCCTACCTCATTTAATTGTAACCATTCATTCATTTCTCTTTCCCTATCCTATCACCTATGTCCCAATATCCAAATGGCACCTGGGTTTTGTCTCGTGGGAAGTTGGAGCAGGAATTTTGTACGGCTGTCTTTTGTCCCTATCGATCAGCATCTTAGCTGCATACTATTTTCAAGCGCAGTGCGGTAGTGTTCCGCGGTTGGACACTTGGACGGTAGGCAATAAGCTGACCAACAAAAGTTTCACGCTACGCTATCGCATTCGATGGAACGCTATATGAGTACTGTATACCACTACTATATTTAGTCATAGAATGACAGAAATGATGCCCAGTTTTGAAGCCTGTTCGCTTGCTCGTACACGATCGTGGATTATAAGCTGAAATAGTATTTTTCTCTCACACCAAATCAGCCAATAGTAAATAATCCACGATCGTTTACGACGAAACGAATAGACTGCAAATCATCTTATCTTGTTGCAGCGGATCAGTGAGTAAAAGTTTCTACCTGAGACAAAAAAGATTGTATATACTCCTGACCAGACCAGTCCAACACCCAGAATTGGGCGGACAAACCAAGCGCATGGCATGCCTCTTTTTTAGACCGACGAAGGTGTGGCGCCATACTGGCAGGTCTACTCAACTCCTCTCTGGAAATGTACACTACTACGTATACTGCATCGCGAGTGCCCCCACATGCTAGAACTAGTGACTACCGACGTTAATACGATAGTCAACCGTCAACACGGCACGAGAACAGGAAAAGCACACGTGCGGAGTCGAGTATTCAGCAGCCGCACGCACCGGTTGCACATGGTCAAAAGAAATAAAAACAAGCTGGTAGTTGTAGGCCCTCGGCGAGGCGCCGACGACTGGACTGACCTGTGATCCTCTGCAGCGGGTTGAAGGTGAGCATCCGCTCGATGAGGTCCAGCGCCGCGACGGACTGCACCTTCGGGAACAGGCTCGCTAACGGCCGCCGCGGGAACTGCGGGAGGTGGCGCATGTACTTCCGCGCGTCCTCGTTCCGGATGAACCCGAGCTCATCGTCCGTCGGCGTCCCGATCACCTGCCCGGCCAGCGATGACCAGAAGGCGTCACGCACTTGTTCCTACTAGGAAAGGAACGCAGCCAAAGGAATCGGATGGCGGTACCTCGGTGATGAGGCGCATCTGGTGCATGTGGTCGCGGCCGGGGAAGAGCGGCTGGCGGTTGATGAGCTCCATGAAGATGCAGCCGACGGACCAGACGTCGATGGCGGCGGAGTAGTCGGTGGAGTTGAGCAGCAGCTCGGGGGCGCGGTACCACCGGGTCACCACGTACTCCGTCATCATGTCGCTCTCGGAGGAGGGGCGCGCCAGCCCGAAGTCGCAGATCTTGAGGTCGCAGTTGGCGCTCAGCAGCAGGTTGCTGGGCTTGAGGTCGCGGTGGATCACGTTGGCGGAGTGGATGTACTTGAGCCCGCGAAGGATCTGGTACAGGAAGTACTGCGCCCGGCGAGACGACACGTACCGAGATCATATTAGCCAGTCGTCGGCCGGATCTATCACAGGCGGCAAAGCTGATGGCGACGCCATGTTTCTTCTGCTAATGATCACTTACCTGGCAGTGCTCCTCCGAGAGCTCCTGGTTGGAGCGGATGATGTGGTGGAGGTCCGTGTCCATGAGCTCCGTGCCGATGTACACGTCGCTGAACGCCTGCGGGATCGGCGGCGGGATCACGTCCCTGATGCCTATGATCTGTTCATCCATGTGTCAGTCAGTCATCCCCAAAACCCAAATGGGAGCAGCAATCGGCGTCAGATTCAGAGCATGCTGTGCTTAAGTGAAACGCCAATTAAACCAGCCATGTGTGCTTGCTTACGTTCTCGTGGTCGAGGTGCCTCAGCAGCTTGATCTCCCGGAGCGTGCGCTTGGCATCCATGTGGTTGTCGAAGGCGTTGGCGATCTTCTTGATTGCCACCATCTCTCTCGTCTCAAAGTTCATCACCGAGCTGCGCGCGAACCGTACAGTTTTTTTTTTTCAGAATTATAATCAACCACCCGTAATAATTTCCTAAAAATACTTTCCTAAAAGGTGAGGTAGCTAGGGTGTTCATTCGATTCGAGAACTCACCAACCACTGCACTACTAGTAGATAGCTAAATTAACCAAACCGCTAGCTCAACTGCTATACTCTATCTATACAGATTTAAAATAAGAAGAATCTATTGCTGGTCCAAGTCCAATCAATCCATGACTATCATCCATTAAACTACTAGTAGTAATCCTAACACTTGGCAATCATCTTTTGCAGTTCGCAAGCAATCAGCCATGGCTCAAGCTCGAACAGAACGTACCAGACGATCCCGTAGGCGCCGCGGCCGATGGGCATGATGGGGGGCTGGTACTTGTGCGTGATCTCGAACAGGTTGCCGAAGATGTTGTACTGCAGGAACCGGCCGCCGTGCGTCACCGTCGGCTGGAACTCGGCGACCGGAGCTCCGTCCATGCCTCCTCCGCTCCTCGTCGTCTTCCCCCGGGGAAGAGGCCCTGGCTGGCTGGCTTATTCCCCTCGACGACGGAGAAGAGGAAGACCGGCTCTCACTCCTCACAAGGTCACAGGTACAAGCAGCAAAGCAAATCCGGCAATTTGACTTTATCTTTCTCCCCTCGCGACCGATTTGTCAAAAGAGGAAGCGCAGGCGAGGGTTTTTATAAAAGGTGGGGGGCGGCTGAAGCCCAAGCAGGCCTCGCTTCGCTGCCTGGTGCCTCCCGCTAATGCTCAGCACCCGACCGGGCCGGACTCCAGCTGATGAAGGTAACGAGAAGCTTCGCTTAAGTCGGCTGATGCTGTTTTGTTGTTAAAGAAAAACATTCATGATTAATAAGCATAGTTGATACGATCAGCGAGGGAGCGTGACGCATGGCACGGCCACGGCCCATTGCTCTGCGACGGACGGCGCTGATGGGAGAAGCTGCTCGGATCCGACGGCGGGCAGGGCGTTTAACCGGTCAAACGAGGACGCGCACCAACCCGATCGGATAACCGGCGTGGCACGCGGTTCGGCTGGTTGGGGCTGGGGGGCGCTCTGCTGCGACAATGGGCCACCGTGTCAGGGACTCAGGGGGCTCGGCGCGCGGCGGGCGGGGCGGCAGGGATTGCCGGATGGGCAATTGGCCCATAGCCGCCGACGCGTTGTTTTGCTGGCGCGGGCGCTGGATTGGACGGGGACGGGGACGGGGAGAGTGGTGTTGGCCGTTGGGCCCGGGCTGGATGATGCGGTCTGCAACCCTGCATGCGTGGCCGGCCGTGCCTGGCGCGGTGGCTGTTGACCGCCCGCGTCGTCGTCCACAATGGCGACGTGTGGAAATGGAATGGGGACTCGGAAATCCTGCGTGCCGACTCCTGACCCCCGAGTCCACGCAGAGGGTCGTTGAGCTCGGCCGGGGCTCTGGCTCTGGGGGGGTTCCCGGACGGCCGGACCCGTCTCTCGGGCGCCCCGTCATGAACGATTAGTATGGCTCTTCTTCTTGTGTAGCGCGTGTATGTACGTACGTTGATACGATCGTACGAAGCTGTGGAAATACCAATGAGAAAGCACGAAGATGAAAATAAGAGTGAGGAAGAGAAAGACTAGACTCAGAGAAAACGGGTACAGACACACATGGATTGAAACTTCCTGGAATTAACCATTGTCGTGAGTCGTGACCAGCACCATGATCTTTTCTCACGGAAAAATGGATGTGATCACCGAGACGGCGATGTCAACTATGCTGTTGTCGTGGGACAGTGGAGAGATCGATCGAGTGGTCGGAACAGTTCAGAGAAAGAGTGGAGGTGCCCTCCTCCACGGCACCTACAAAAAATGGTTTGAAGCGACAGACATGACATATTCACTCTGTCATCCAATGGTGAAAATGGTCGGAAAGGCCGTGCTCTGATTCGTCGAATCCATCTAAGCTGCTACGCGCTTTCAGAAATCAGAATAATTACACACTCAATCCTGACGATTAAATTAGATATCAGGATCACATCGATAACATTGATTGGAAATGAACTGCTACTCGCAACCACCAGTTTCACGATGTGAGCCAAAATGTTGATCGACAAGCTTGATATTCCTTAATTAGTGCCGAACAGGATACGCTTACCGTTAATCAGGGGCCCCTTGCATAAGACAAGGTAGAGGCTTTGGCGGCTCGATGCAGGATTGAACACTTGTTTACTGTACAAGCTGAGGGTGCAAGTGCCATTTTTTGGGCAGAAAAGATAGCCGAATGGATGAGGAACCCCCCAACAACTAACTGATGTGTACTGCTAGCAGTACAGTGTTGCCCGGGCGATTGGAACAAGGGGGGCTTAGAAACCGAGGCCATGATTGCGAAGCCCGAACTTTTTATTATTCTGCCAGGAAGCATCGCCGCGTGATGCACGAGTTGAGCAAAGTATCTCCGGTTCCTATTATTTTGCAGGTCTCAATCTTTCTGTGTGGGAGAGACAGATTACTGAAGTTTCGGACATCCTATCTATCGTTTCGCATTTTTCTTTTGGCAGGTATCATTCGTTCCATATGATTTCGAAATCAAGACGTGGGGGCGCCAGCCAGTACGATCGACGAGCTGACAAGAGTTGGCGATAGGTGCAGCATTGTTTGCCGTGATGACGTCGAGGCCAGCACATGTGATTTTTTTTTTTTTTTGAGCAAAGCCAGCCGTGAATGGGCTGCAAAGCTAGGACAAGCCTGAATTGCTGTGCTGGGCTAGACTGACTGGCTCGTGTTGATAACATTCTGGGCTGTAAGCCTAAAGCCTGTAACCATTTTCTTGTGGGCCACATTGATGGACAGCCCACTTCTCCCACGCTCGGTCGGTTGTTACGTACACGCAGCCGGCAGCCTCCGGTCCGGACCGGATGCTGTCGGCGTGAGAACCCTAGAACGAAAACATCTTCGTCCCGGCAAAGGGAGGAAAAATCTGCACGACCCTGCTCCGCGTCCTCTCGTTTCGTGTGAACTGCGGAGCAGGTGGGGGTGCCATCAACACCCTCGCGCCCTTCGCGCGGCGGCGGCAATGGCGCCCACGGCCTGCCTCCGGATCCCCTTCCTCCCCGTCCGAGCCCGCTCCGCCAACGCCAACGCCACCCCGTTCTCGCCACCCCGCCGCCTTTCCCTCAAATGCAGCGCCGCCGACGGTGACAACCCCAACCCTAATTCCATCTCCATCTCTCCCGCATCGCCGCCTGGGTTAACGGTGTCAGACGGCGTCGAGTCTGTGGACGTGAACGGGTTGCGTCGCCCGCCCGCGCCTGTCTCCGCCCCCACCGTCCCCGGCGCCCGCGATCCCCACTGGCTGCCTCGTAAGTCACGCGTTCGCGGCGGCCCTTGCGTTAGCTAATTTCGGATCACCTGGTTCTAATCTGTGCTCTGCGCTTTTTTTTCCTGTGTTAAGGGCCACTCACTAGCGCGGACATCATGGAGGCGGACGGGAAGGGGCTCAAGGTTGCTTACCAGGTAGGTGCTCGACGAAACGCGTCTCACGGGTTGTTGTTTCAGTTTCCTTACGACTGTGCTTGTGTTGTGTGTTTCGGATAATTTTATGGGAATTTGGTTATGGTGTTTAATTCAGGGTTGCGCTGGGGCGTACAGCGAAGCGGCAGCAAAGAAGGCGTACCCGAATTGTGAGACTGTGCCCTGTGAGCACTTTGACACTGCATTTCAGGTAGCAGGGTGTTGCCTGTTGAGCACACCATAGTTACTTTACTTGACTCATGTTGCCATTTTGGAAGGATATCTAATTACAAATGGTTAAATGTTTTGTTTGATGAAATATGTTGAGAAGTACCGACACTGAATTGGACTGGCTCCATATTGCTTTTGTTTGACACACTAATCTGTAGAAATAATCAATCACTAGCACATAATATGCATACAATGTGTTCTGTTAGGAAAAACAAGTTCTAGCCAGTGAATGTTGTTCATGCCGTTTTTTTTGGGGGAGGGGGTGGGGAGGTATTGTTCATACGGATTTAATTTTACTTGCAGAAATGTCAAAATGTCACGCATCTGCTCTTGTGTAGTTGTGTTCTTTGAGAATTGAGATAGATTAGGCTAATTTACTTGTCATGTCAATTTCCTAGAATATTTTTTGACTATAAGGGAAGCACCTCTTTTCGGCTATCGCCTATCGGGTAGCAGTAGGGTAATACTCAATCCATCCCAAATTGTAAGACGTTTGACTTTTTTGACACCAAGTTTGACCACTCGTCTTATTCAAAAATTTATGTAAAATATCACTTCTTTCGTCGTGGTTTGGTTTATTAATAAAAATTCTTCAAGAATGACTTAAATTTGACTATATTTGCACAAATTTTTTGAATAAGACGAGTGGTCAAACTTGGGGCCAAAAAAGTCAAACGTCTTACAATTTGGGATGGAGTAGTATTTTTTTTCTCAAAAACACAGGTGAGCTTCGTATCATTGCATTAATAGAAGAGAACAGAATCTTTATTTCTCTTCTAAAACTATTTTTCAGAGAGGTTTATGTTTTTTGTCTTAAAAACACACTTCTCTAGTTAGCGAATCGATGTGACAATTTTTTTTTCTCATGTTCTTCTTTGACAGGCTGTTGAAAACTGGGTAGCTGATAGGGCAGTACTGCCACTTGAGAATTCATTGGGAGGTAGCATACATCGGAACTATGATCTTTTGCTTCGGCATAGTTTGCACATTGTTGGAGAAGTTCGCCTTGCGGTTCGCCATTGCTTGTTAGCCAATCCTGGCGTGAAGATTGAAAACCTTAAAAGTGCTATGAGTCATCCCCAGGTCCACTGCTTGGTTGATCTGTCTTTACTTCTCTCATTACTGTTTATTTTCGTCGGAGGTAATCTTACAACCATATCATTTTTTTAATTGATAGGCTCTTGCGCAATGTGAGCACACATTAACAGGACTAGGAATTGAGCATAGAGAGGCTGTTGATGACACTGCTGGTGCAGCAAAGGTAGACTGAGGTTTTTTGTTCAACTAGAGCATTCACCTTCTAATTCAGATATCTTTTTTTCTTCGCTCTTTTAGCAACTCTTTTTCTTTTGTTATTTTTGGATAGATTGTGACTTCAGTTATCCATTTTGTTAACTCTCTGTTTTTAACCATAGCAATGGCATGACTTTTCTTTCCTAGATTGTTGCAGAACATATGCTCCAGGACACTGGTGCTATTGCTAGTTCATTGGCTGCTAAACTCTATGGATTGGATGTTCTTGCTGAGAATATTCAGGTACAGCGAGTTCATGCTAAAATAGTAAAATAGATAAAACGTTCTGTTCTTTGTTCTGAACATTAGCCTGTCAATTTCTTAAGGATGACAAAGATAATGTCACCCGTTTTATGATGCTAGCTCGAGAACCCATCATACCTCGCACTGATAAACCATTTAAGGTACCCATCTTTGTGCAAACTCTTTTCCATTGTCACACCTTGTCCTCATTGTTACTGCAGCTGATCAGTTGTATGGTCAATTTTTCAGACAAGCATAGTCTTTTCACTAGAAGAAGGACCTGGACAGCTCTTCAAGGCGCTTGCTGTATTCGCAATGAGGGAAATAAACCTCACAAAGGTCTACCCAACTACTTTGTCTTGTCAGTTTCATGCATTGTGTAGAAATGATTCACTATATTTGCTCTGTTTTTGAATGGATGCGCAGATCGAAAGTCGTCCACACAAAGAAAGGCCTCTTCGAGACTGTTCCTCACTCTTAAAGTTAGATGCTAAACCTGTGGCCTTCTAAGTCATTCAATTTCACTTGCTGCAGTTTTACATTAATATGAGCATTACTTTGCTGTTCAAGTGTTTATATCTTCCTTACCCATTCGATTCTGGATTGCATCAGGAACTTTGATTACCTCTTTTACGTTGACCTTGAAGCATCAATGGCTGATCCAAAGACCCAGAATGCTCTTGGAAATCTGAAGGTGCTCTTTCTTTGTTAGTACAATCTGGTGATTGTAAACTGTGCTCATGTTGCTTTATTTCAGGAGTTTGCAACCTTTTTAAGAGTCCTCGGAAGCTATCCTACAGATGTGAATGAACCTTAGATAGAAAGTACTGCAGATTACATGCTGGTGAGTAATGAATATCAGTATCTACTTTTGGCGCTTTGTTACTATATGGTATGGTGCAGGAACGAAGAACATTCCTTTTCAGTTTAAATGGGCAAAATGTCATTATATAAGACTACTTAAATGTGGTTGGAGTTAGGCAACTCACTTGAGTGATGTGCTTATTCTGTTATAAAATGTAATGCACAGTTTGATTTGGTGCACCTTCGAAGACATTTGTGGGTGCATATCTTTTCCTGAGTTTGCTTGGGTTGAGTAGAAGTTGAATACTGAACTCCCATGCCAAGCATTCTTCACATGTTCCTTCCTATCATCCCCACTGACACTAGCAACACAACAACGTTGCACCCCAGTTTCCTTCTCGGTGCCATCGGCGGACTTGTGTGCCTCGGTCCATAGCAAAATTTTGGTATAAGGTCAAATTGTTCTAACCAGTTAAAAAAAATCCACATTGAAAGCGAGAATTGTTGCACATAGAATTCAATTCTTCTAACCAATAAAACCATTGTTCCACATTGAAAAGAACTGTTCCAGAATCAAATTCTTCTGAACAACTATAAAATTGTTACACATTGAAAAGAAAATTGTTCCAGACTTTCAGGTATGAAATCAAATTGTTCTAACCAAAAAAAAAGTTGTTCCGTGTAAAAGATGAATTGTTTTAGGTATTAAATTGGATTGTTCAAATCAACAAAATATCATTCCACGTTAAAAAATGGGTTGTTCTAGGCATAAAACCGAATGTTCTAACCAATGAAGAAAAATCGCATAGAGAAAAAGAATCCAGAAGTCAAGCGGTGGATCTCGTAACCTTGGCAATTGAAGGATGGAGACTCGAGCAATGTGAGGATGAAAAAGGAGCAGGCAGGGCATCATGTGCTGATATTGAGCGAACTGGGCTGACTTGATGGTCCTGGTTGCTGTGGATGGACTACGTGAGCGATAAAAAGAGGATTGTTGTGCAGACGACTTTTAGTTGCCACAGTCAAATTCACATCTTAGAGGACTTGCCATCTTTGCTTTCTTATACATTGTCATTTTGAGTTTACTGAAAGAATCCTATAAAAACTTCTATTAAACTATTAGGAAACTAACTAGAAGAGGTGAATGACTAGTATTTGTAGGATAAAGTACTAGAAAATTATGGATATGGAAAGTTGTATGACATGCTAGTAATTTCCCTTCTAAACCAATAGTAGTTAGTACATTATTTATTTATTTTCTCAAGGATCTAATTAGTTCTCAAATGTCTTCTGATCCAGGATTAGCAGGAATGGGCGAAATGGTTAGAGTTGGTTTCCTGAGCAGATTGAAAAGTGAAGGAACTGTATTAAGCTGATGCTAACTTTTACAGAGAAAAAGGATCTACATTAGAGCGGTAGAGAAGGGTGGATTTGAGGCTTACATTGGTTGTTATCTTGGAAGAAAATTTGATGTTTTGCTGGTAATGGTTCTCTGACTTCCGATGCAACGAGGATACCTGAAATAGCAGTCTAGTCTTCTTCAATATCCTATTATGTGGGAGCTTGAAAAGCACTTTTAAACTATGGAGACCAAAGGTTTTTTTTGTTTGTTTGATAATAATCGGAGACCAAAGGGTTGAATATTCGGAAATACTTAAATAAGGTTTATATGTTTTCATGTTGGAGTATCTGTGTCATGCAGATTGTTAGAATACAGTTACAGTGGAATAATGGGACAGTGTCTAAGAACATTTGTCTTTTTTAGGACAGTATAATAAGAACTGATGTTTCCATGTCCATTCGGACGTTCCTCAAAAATCTTATTTGCTGTGTCATGACGCGCTCTATGCATCTGGTGGTGGTCAACGTGGCCAAACCTGGCCAAACTTTCCTTGTGTAGAAGAAAATAATTTGGTGCTCCTTATATTTTTTCTGTTGATGAAACGGAATTTGGTGCTCCTTGATTGCCGTGATTTGTGCCAGGTCAAATTCGGTTGTTCAAGCTGCCGATTTTTCTGTTGATTAAACGGAATTTGGTGCTCTTTGATTGCCGTGATTTGTGCCAGTTCAAATTCGGTTGTTCAAGCTGCCGAGTAGCTATCTAGCTAACTGCAGCTTAGCGGCTGCTACTTATGTAATGTAACTAGTACTGTAGTAATTATCTAGTGTTGGTGCAGAGCGGAGAATATTCCTCCGGAGGCATTTTTCTGGAAGAAACATTCGAGCATACCACATGTGCTCCTCGCTTAGTATATTGTCATGCTCCTGCCCATGATGTACCATGTGCGGTTGATTCCCGGTTGGTTATTTTTACAGGAGGTCAAAGAATATGCTCCGTATGTCAGGACTTACCGGTTTCCTAGTGACTGTATTGTAGTGTCGGCCGGTCCCCGCGTGTGACATGTCGTTCAATGACGAGGCATCAGCACAGCACAGCACCGAATATAAAGAGAACGTGCAGAGATCCGAAGCTTAGAGTTGGAAGAAGCTCGGTCTAAGGTTCGGCAGTTCGAGCACGGGCTGGTGCACGTGGCCTGATGACCTGGTTTCGTTGGATCTCGTGAGGAAATGGTCTCCCATGATGGCTTCCCGTTTGCGTGCAGTTCGTGCTCTCTTTCCCGGCTGATAATCGTGAGATGAAAGCATATTTAGCCTTTTCCCTCTCGCTCGCTTTGATTGATGGGGTTGATCCGAGCCTGGAGCTGACCCCACTTGGCCACTTCACACAGAAAAAGGCGTTGAGTAGGAAGAAGAGAACCCATTCCTCCGGAACAGGGAGCACTAGGTATATGCCTCCTCTCGGTACTCACCCGGGCCTCTTCTCATCGCTTAAGCTTTTATATATCGCTTTTTATGATGCCGAAATCTGACCGGTCTTTACCCATAATTTCTTCCTGTTTCTCCTTCTCATGTACAGTTGGAAATCGGAACGACGAATGTGGCAGCCTATCACCGCAGGTCACTACAGTATAGTAACAAGCAGAACGGCCTCGGTGTCTCGCACACGTCAGTACGTCACTGTTGAGTGTTAACTCGCATGAGACGAGTGGAGCAAGGCACCTTCCTGGCTTTCCTCCCTCCAGATGGCTGGCACGCGGAAACCGCGAGTGACGCGACACGGCGCACCGTCACCTCGTCGTGGGGTATTCGGCGTAGCGTTTTGTCTTCTGCTCCAGCAAAATTTGGCGCGTTGCTCTGCTCGTGCGGGACGAGGCGAGGCGAGGCGACCGTATCCGTGTCACCGAACCGGGTGACCAAGTCGGCAGGGTCCACGAATTAGGCAGGTTGGTATAGTACTGAGCAAAGCGTAATTTGTGCAAACAAGACCCGATCAGCGGGGTGCGGAGTTGGGTTGGGTTTGTGAGCCGGTGCTGCCATGCTCGGCTGCCGAACGAATTTCCAATGTCGTTGCCAATTTGCGCCTCCTTGCCAAACTTCTGAGTTCTGACCAAACGCACCCGTACATCTTGTAGTCGTAGCAGTTAGTTAGGAATAATAATGATCGCTAGGAGGCTACTGGTATTAAATTTAGATGTTTGTACTTATCCTAGTATTGGTGGCGACTATTTTTGCCAAAAACAAGCTTCAACACACAAATTTGAAGTGATCTTACATATAGTATAGTAGAAGAAAGAGACGAGGAAATATATGATTCATGATACATAATATGCTCCAGACTTATAGGACGTTTATCTTAGTCTCCACTTATTAGGTTGACAAATTCATGCATAGATTGGAAATAAAATTCTAGCCCATCTATGTAAGGTACAATCTGAAAATGAATTTATATCCACAACGTTATCTCTACGGTGACTGGCTAGCTCAATCCATAGATAATTGTATGGTTGCATTGCCAGTCTGAAAGAAAAGAAACAGCTAAATGCTCGAGCCCCCGGCGAATATGAATGAAATGATTAATAAATAAAAGAAACAGAAAACCAAGCTCTGGTCTGGAATTCTGGATTAACGAAAAAAGCACATCGGAAAGAGAAGGCGGAAAAGATCATCTCCCCTCCGTTGTCTCCACCGACGGGCGGACACGACAGGGGCGTCTCCTCCCCGCTCCCATAAACGCAGGCTCACGCAGACGCCTCCCTCCCGAGCCAAAGCCAAAGCCCAAGCCAAACCCGCCACCACCAATTCAACCGCGACCCACCGCCCGCACCCCCATTCCCACCTCCTCCCCAGATCTCCCCGTGCGCCCGCGCGCGCGCGAGTTCGTGTGCGGCCGGCAGCGGCGGCGGCGACGACCGAGGAGCCATGACGGCCAAGGGCGGCGCCACGCCGTCCCCCGGCGGCGCGGGGGGTCCCTCGGTGGGGAACGGCCGCTTCTTCACGGTGGGGCTGGTCACCGCCTGGTACTCCTCCAACATCGGCGTGCTCCTGCTCAACAAGTACCTCCTCAGCAACTACGGCTTCAAGTACCCAATCTTCCTCACCATGTGCCACATGTCCGCGTGCGCCCTGCTCTCCTACGCCGCCATCGCCTGGCTGCGCGTCGTGCCCATGCAGCTCGTGCGCTCCCGCGTCCAGCTCGCCAAGATCGCCGCGCTCAGCCTCGTCTTCTGCGGCTCCGTCGTCTCCGGGAACGTCTCGCTCCGGTACCTCCCCGTCTCCTTCAACCAGGCGGTCGGCGCCACCACGCCCTTCTTCACCGCCGTCTTCGCCTACATCATGACCGTCAAGCGCGAGTCGTGGGTCACCTACCTCACCCTCGTGCCCGTCGTCACTGGAGTCATCATCGCCAGCGGCGTAAGTTACTGCCTGTGCTCCGCCTCCGTCTCTGTTTTCTCAGTAGATCTGTTGGAGTCGGGATTGGATCTGAGCGGAATCCGGGTTTGGCTAGCTCGGAACTCGGGAGGAGTGGGACGGAGCTGAAGACAACAGGTGGATCTGTCATCTAGCTGTAATTGGACTAAAATGGCTGCCAGGCATCTGGGGAAAAAATTGCAAAAATGACACTCGAAAGATTGACTCCTTACGATGACACTCGGGTGGACGACGAGTGGGTTGTATATGAATGTGGGTCCAGTGTCAAATCTGCAAACAACCGATGTTTCAGAGTCCCATTTTTGCAAATTGCCCGGCATCTGGCCCCTCACTTCATTGGATGCCCATCCCTTCGTTGGGAATAGAATTTTGGGATTATCCGATGGAAACCATTCATGGCGTGTCACGCTGCCTATACATGTCACCTCAGACGTCGGCTATCTGATAGGGCCAAGTGATCAACTGGCATAACAGCTGCTCACTATCTATGTGATCAGCTAGTTAACCAAACTTCATCGCAGGATCCAGTTAGTTAACCAATCATTTAACAGCGATAGCTATCTTTCTCTGCAAAAACCTTCTCTGGAAACTGTGGATTTGCAAGTAAAACTTTCAAAATTGTTTTCTAGAAAGTAATCCATATTTTGAAATTGAATTGTAAAATATCCATTCTTTAATATCAAAGTATTGGCTTACCTTTAGAAACTGACATGATTGATTTTCTATACATTCGTTGAACATGCATGGGGCCGTTAATTGTGCCATTAATAAGTTGATTCTCTTGCATTATTATGCATACTATACACAGCACTGTGTTTTTTATGATAAGACTATACACAGCACTGTGTTATAGCTCTATTGTGCAATATATATAAGACATACTAGGCTAGCAAAGTGTCCAATGACCACTGGAGGCGTTTACCAATAATAGTGGGGTGTGGGAATCTTATGTTAACGTGTAGCATCTCATCTAACAAGTTGTTGCTATTCATGGCTGCTATGAGGAATCTTTAGGAGGTATTTGTTTCACATCAACTAGTATATATCCCTAATGTCATTCAAGTGGAGAACCTAGAGCTTTGAATGCCTACTGACTAAAGTTGTTGTTGGACCTCTTAAGTTTCTAGTACTAACTGATATGGAGCATGCAAATCGAACTTACAGGGTGAGCCGAGCTTTCATCTGTTTGGCTTCATAATGTGCATAGGAGCAACTGCAGCAAGGGCGTTGAAGACAGTATTGCAAGGAATTCTTCTGTCTTCTGAGGGGTAACTTTGTCTTCCCTTTTATATGTATTCACGACTCTGTACACATTACCTTGGATTCATTTACTACTTTGCATTTGTGTGGATGCTGAGTGTTTCTCTGTTCTGATGTCTTGCAGGGAGAAGCTTAATTCTATGAATCTGTTATTGTACATGGCCCCAATCGCTGTTATTTTCTTGCTTCCTGCAACTATCTTTATGGAGGATAATGTTGTCGGCATTACAATTCAGCTTGCAAAGAAGGATTTCACGATTGTTTGGTTGCTATTGTTCAATTCTTGCTTGGCATATTTTGTCAATTTGACCAATTTCTTGGTGACAAAGCATACTAGCGCACTGACTCTACAGGTACCACGTGCTTTCTGACCCATCAATTCAGTTTTGTGTGCATGATGTAGTTTAACACTTGGCTTTTCTTGTTTTTTCTGTTATGCGCACTATATTTAAGATGTGTTGGATAATGGTATTAACTATTAAGATCTACTACTTCATTCCAAGTGTCCACTAATATTCGACCTTTCTAACCCACTGTATTTTGCTGAGCTAGAAACACGCTGCTCTTGTCCTGTACAAGTGTATGGTTTGAACTTTGAAGTATGTAACAGTGACTTTTAATTTTAAACATACACAAATGGGGTCTGTGATTGACTACAATATAGATTTGCTGCACTAATAGGAAACACCTTTGATGTTTTTTATTGAAATTGGAAATTTTATCGATCAGAGGCATGTCAGAATTGAATGTAAAATGTTCTGTAATCGGTTTGAAAAAAAGTAACATATTTACCTACAGGTTTGGAAAAAGTAACATATATACCTTGCTGTCTTAAGTGTAAAGCTTTCTACACATCTTTCTCCTTTAGATGCATAATCATGACTCATGAGATTGCCATATCTTGGTTTATTGACCATATGATAGTAGTTTGTTTGCCATCTTACCATACCTTGTCTGTTTTAAGAATTTGACTTAAATCCTTCAATTATTGACATCCATGTCTCTCCAGGTTCTCGGAAATGCAAAGGGTGCTGTGGCAGTTGTCGTCTCGATCATGATATTCAAGAATCCTGTGTCCATAACAGGAATGCTCGGTTACACTCTCACGGTTATTGGTGTTATTCTTTACAGCGAATCCAAAAAGCGCAGCAACAAGCCATGAACACCCTAGAAGACAGTAAATATGGCAATCATTTCTTTGTCCTGTCAGCGCCTAGAGCTAATATATGATGAGAAATTAATTCGGTGGCGATCACAACATATCCTAAGCCATACTGCCTCAGCAATTGGACATCGAGGATAGAAGTCCAATAATACCTGTAGTATTACCTTGGCATGTGGGAGGCATTTTGTTTAATGGCGTTGATGGATAGAATATAATTTTTTGTGTTAGAGAACTGTGGCTCACACTGCCAGCATTGGTTAATACGTTTAGCTCTTGGGAAATTGCCTCTTCTATTCATCTGAAATGTAACTTCCATTTTCTTTTGTTCTGAAGACCACCTGTACCAAGACTTTGATCCAGGTTCCAGGACCTAATTAATATATTGTGACACTGGATTTAAGCTCGATTACCTGGCTTTTGGTGACAGCTATGTTGCCTCATCAAATGACTGCCAATGTGATGTCTATATTGTTGGTTCAAATTTGCATCCAACTGTGCAGGCTGTTGATGGTGAGTATCCTCAAGTCGTAGAAAAACAAGACTGTACCGCTTATATCATCCAGACACCAGCAACAAAAAGCATTCAACCGATTACATAACCAAGAACGAAACAATGAGCCCTTACAGTACTCAGAAACCTTCCACCCGCATTGCCTAAGATCAAGTCAAGGGCCGGACTTCACTGCTTCGTCCCAGTTTTTTCCTCAACTCAAAATCTCCTCAACCATTTTGAGCTCTGGTCCCTCCCTCCACCTGTTCGCTTGCTTAAACAACCATGCCTTACTGGATTCTCCACTTCTAGCTGCTCAAAATCCTTTCTGGTCTACATGTTCAAAAAAAAAATCCTTTCTGGTCTTGATGCTATCTTCATAAGCTCCTTGCAGCAAAGATTCGCACTGTTTCTTCTCCTGTGTGAGTATCGTAATTGCATGATTAGAAGGTTTCCAGCGTGAACACTGAACACTACCAACTGTACCATATTTGGACATTACAATTTTTGCTCCATTGGAAGCCGTGCAACTCGTTCCCCATGTATTTACGTTTCTTGTTTTTTCTGATAATGCACGGTATCGGCTTATGTATTGTTGTGAAAATTGTTCAAGCAGTCCAAGGAAATGAAAGAGGAACTGCGGCTCACACTGCCAGCATTGGTTAATACGTTTAGCTCTTGGGAAATTGCCTCTTATGTTCGTCTGCTATTGTAACTTCCATTTTCTTTTGTTCTGAAGACCACCTGTACCAGACTTTGATCCAGGTTCCAGGACCTATATAACCTGTTCGCTGGTTGGTTTCTGGGCTGATAAGCCCGGCTAGTGCTGGTTTGTTGTGAGAGAAAAAACACTGTTGACTGACTGATAAGCTCTGATTGAAACCAACAAGCGAACAGGCTACCGTGACACTGAAGCTCGATTAGCTGGCTTTTGTTGACAGCTATTTTGCCTCATCAAATGACTGCCAATATGACACCAACAATATCTGAGAAATATGGTCCGTTACCAGGGTTAGCCATGGCATCACTGTCTCCAAATAGATGACCCTGACTTGCAACCATTCTGCAACTCCTGCATTCACCTTCCTTGACCACAAATAATGACAGGGATGCAACCTACATCTCGATGCAACTCATGTCACATTTGAGACATCTGAATTCCATACCTGTTAAAAGATTGGTCTTGCATTTACGGACAAACAACCACCACACTCAGTTGAAAGTAAATTAATAGTAGGATATTTGTATTTCCACTAGTATGTCCGAAAAAGTCTACCACTGCTACTTGATACAAAACTAACTCTGAATCTCACATTGATTCTCATGAAAGGACAATGACATAAAGTACACAGACTTTTAGTTTTAAGTAGCTGAATTGCAAATTAAGCAGACAGTAAATGAAATATGCATATCATATCACACTGATATACTATTTTCGTCTATATGATCAGGGCAGCTTCCACAATAACCGCAGGGTGATCATAATGACTTGTGCAACCTTCGTACTTAAACTGTTCACAGAAAATAAACAACTTGAAAGTAACAGCTTTGCTGGTCAGCATTAGCAGCAGACTCAAGATGATGGATCGTCTATTCTGAAAGGTCTTTCTTCCATAACGCACATCAGAGATCAGCGGGTCCTCTTAGCGATGACAATCTACAACAATCTGAAACATTAAAATGCACAACAGCTATAAGCAACTTCCGACTCAGTACTCGTAATTCCAAAGATTTAACAATAGTAAGCTCCAGATAGAAGCTTCTATTTGCAAGAAATTAACAACATTTTTTCTTTTTAGAAAATCTGAAACAAGGTAGCATGGCAATACTAGATCAACAGATTTGTAAGCGTACACCAATACAATGACATGGTCTTTAATAAGCCAGACTAAAGAACCAAGATTAGGTTTGCCTTTTCAGTGCCATGTATTCTGTTTGCTCTAATACATCCAAGTTGCCACAAAGTGTGTTTTCATTACAACTAGTAGTTCATTCTGAAGCCATAACTAACTACCTAAGCTAACATATGGAAGCTGCAAATAAAGATAAAAAAAGCCAAAATATAAACAAGTGCTATTACAATACCAGGAGTGTAGAAACTCATGTAGGGCAGAATGCTTATGTTACGCCTAGGCTTGCCAATCTTTTTCACTCTCCCTGATTTGAGCTCCATCATGAATAATCCAACACCTCCAACACCTGTGGTGATGAAGATGACACCCACACCCTCTGCGAAGCCAACCACTCGTGCTGTCTCTGGGATTCACTGAACTCACCCTTCTGGACCACAGAGCATATTTCTTTGAACTCACCCCTCTGGACCACAGATAAGGTCTGGTTTAGTTCCCAAAAATTTTCACCCCAAACTATCACATCGAATCTTGTGGCACGTGCATAGAGTATTAAATATAGACGAAAAAAAATTAATTGCACAGTTTGGTTGGAAATCACGAGACGAATGTTTTAAGACTAATTAGTCCATGATTAGCCATAAATGCTACAGTACTAACATGCGCTAATGATAGTTAATTAGACTTAATAAATTCGTATCGCAGTTTTCAGACGAGCTATATAATTAGTTTTTTTTATCAATATTCGAAAATCCTTTCCAACATCCCCGAAACATCCAATATGATATCAAAAATTTTTATTTCGCAAACTAAACACACCCTAAATACGAGCATGCTCAATGCCAGCGAGCCCAATAGAACAGTCCTCCATCACCACGAGGGTAGCCCCACCGCTGTACGCAGCCGATGGTGGACGATTAACCACAGACAAGCAATTCTTCCTCCAGTCACACGTAAGGTGGTGTTTGATCTCGTGACTAAAATTTATTTAGAAGATATGTCGAAAGAATATTATATAGAGTGTTCGAATAATAATAAAAAAAATAAATTACATAATCCGTGAATACACCACAAGACAAATTTTTTAAGCTTAATCAATCTATCATCAGCATGTGTTTACTGTAGCTCCACATTGTTAAATCATGAACTAATTAGGCTTAAAAAATTTATCTCGTAAATTAATCGTAAACAATATAATTAGTTTTATAATTAGTCTATATTTAATACTCTATGCATGTGTCATATATTCGATGAGATAGAAGGGACAACCAAACGCCACCCAATTCCAGCATCCCCTGAAAGCATGAAGTAGATTTCACTGCTGTGGTGCGACGAAGCGGGGAACCCGGTCGATTAGTGGTTCCCTGTCGATAAGCCCGAGGAGGGGAGGGGCTCCGTGGAAGGCGCGGTAGCGGTGGAGGAAGGTGGGGTCGGAGATGGTGCGGAGCCACGGCTTGCGGGCGACGGCCGCGCGGAAGAGCCATTTGGGCTCGTCCGGCGGCAGGCGAAGGAGGATCTCGGGGATGACGTCGTCAACCAGCTCCAACGGCGGCGCCGCCATGGCGTGGAGGCAGCGGTCGGCGGAGCGAGACGATGCGAGGCTGAGGATTGGGGATTTTTTTTTTTTTCTGGGAATGGTGGGATTCGCCGGTTGAGGCTGAGACCAGAGAGCGAATATGATGGGCTCAGTTCGTTCGTCCCTCGTCCAGACCCAATTGAAGGGGCATTCGCCGTTGAGGCAGAGACCAGAGAGCGAATATGATGGGCTCAGTTCGTTCGTCCCTCGTCCAGACCCAATTGAAGGGGCATCGGCCTCTTAGCAACTGGCCCATTTCCCTCCCAGAAAAAAAGAAATCAGCCCACAGCCGATGCAAGGATATAATTCCATCTCCAAAGAGTCCACACACAACATATGCAGGCAATGCAGGATTGAATGATTCTCGCAATTTGCAATGTGCCAATTTCGTCCACTCGAACCAAACAGAAGACACCAAAATTTGCCAATGCCAACGATTTGGTAAGCCATGATTTTAGCTAGAATTTAGTTTGCTACCAAAATTTGTCAAAACCTCACATTTGGCTTACCAAATCTATGGCAATATTTTTTTTCAACTTTAGCTTGCCAAATCTTTGATATGATAAATTTTGGATGTTAACCACGCAGGCCCATGAATCCAAAGTGAACACCTTTGGAAACTCGTCCAGGTCCCATAATGTTGAGTTGGTGGTGCTCAGTATGTGACCCTGGTTTCCGTCTATATTGTTGGTTCAAATTTGCATCCAACTGTGCAGCTGTTGACGATGAGTATCCTCTGTCGTTGAAAAACAAGACTGTACCGCTTATATTATCCAGACACCAGCAACAAAGAGCATTCAACCAATTGCATTCTCAAGAACGAAACAAGGAGCCCTAACAGATTACTCAGAAACCTTCCACCCGCATTGCCTAAGATCAAGTCACAGGCCGGACTTCATTGCTTCCTCCCAGTCTTTTTCCTGAACCCAGCATCTCCTCCATTATGAGCTCTGGTCCCACCCTCCTTCACTGGATTCTCCACTTCTAGCTGCTCAGAAATCAGAACCCTTTTCTGGTTTGAATGCTATATAGCTTCATGAGAGCATCTCCTAGAGATCTGCTAAAAATAGATGTCAAATTCTTTGATTTAGCCATTATGTAAAATAGAAAACCTCTAAAAAAGAAAGCAAACCACAACAGTCTTTCTAAATAGCTCACCACATCAATCTTTTTTGAGGCTCCATGGTGCAGTAGTCCGCCACCGGAACGTCACCGGGCCTTTGCTTCCAACGTGACCGGCCACCTAGACACAACCATCACGGTGGTAGCTCGGCTCGTTGGCTAATTGCGCCCAAGCTACAGCAGCGGCCATGCTACGTATTTGACGCCCGTGCATCCGGCCTTGGCTAGCACTTGGAGGAGTCGCCCAATCTATCAAAATCGAATGTAGCTGGTTGGAAAGGGGATTGGCGCCGTTTCTGACTAAGAAGGATGGGGGAACGAGTACGTACAACGCAGGGCAGAGCTCCTGCAGATGGCGGATGCGACAAGCTTGCATAGTGCCAGGGCGTGATTTTTTTAGGAGCTCAAAGGGGCGGGGCAGTGTGATGAGGAACATACGTGTGGAGTGCCGGAAAGGACAGCCGGCGAGTCGGCGACTCGCGACGGGGAACAACCAGGACAGCGCGGCAACCGGCCGCATGTGTGCGAAGCCACACGGGAAAGCGAGATAGCAAGCGGTGCTCGCTAGCTTTCTTTGGCCACCGAGATTCATGGAATAGACGGCTGGGTATTTTACAACTCCAGATACAACATCTGTTGGAGTCTATTTTGTAGCACAAAACGTCTAAATGTGATTCCATGCTAGGCAACACTCGAGTTGCTCTAAGCTCCTTGCACCAAAGATTCGCCAACTGTTTCTTCTCCTGTGTGAGTATCGTTATTGCACATGATAAAAACGTTTCGAATGTGAACACTACCAACTGTACCATATTTGGACATACAGTTTTTGTTCCATAGGAAGCCACGCAACGAGTTCCTCGTGTATTTGCCTTTCTTGTTTTTTCTGATAATGCACGGTATCGGCTTATGTATTGGCAGTGTTCGCCTAAACGGATTAAACGGCCAGTAAACGGTAAACGGTGGTAAACTATTTTGTTTAGGGGGTAAACAGAAATTAAACAGTTGACCGTTTAAACGGTCAAAAAAACGGCCTAAACGGAACGGAGATAAACATCATTAAACGGGTTAAACAGCTGTTTAAACGGTCGTTTAGACGAACACGAGGTAAATCTAGTTCAGTTTTGTATGGATAAATTTGTATACTTAAGTTTATTATATTTATAAATATGTACACTTGATAGGTTACATGCATAAATATCTATATTTGGTTCTTTTCACATGTATAAATATATATACATACCAAAATAATTGATTTTTACTCGGATAAATATGTATAAATGCTAGAATACTTGATTTTTTACATCCACATATAATTATATGTATTTTTTTTTAAAAAGTATAAAACCATTTAAACCGTTTAATTTCGTTTAAACACCGTGTAAACAGTCTAAACGCTAAACGAAGGGCGACCGTGTAAAGATCGTTTACCGTTTAGGAAAACATTGTGTATTGGTGCGAAAATTGTTCAAGCAGTTGAAGGAAATGAAAGAGGAAGAAAAGAACGTCGATCAGCGGCTGGTAAGGGACTCTCTAGGCTTCTTCCCCCGAGTCGCCCTTCTTCCCCCGAGCGCTCCCCTAGGGCGACTCGTGGGCAACCGCCGCGGCGCCCCTAGGGCCCCTCCTCCCAGCCCTCCCCTCTGGCCGCCGTCGCCGCCCACCGGCGTGCAGCCGTAGCAGCCCGCGGTGGGCAGGAAAAAGCTGCCCGCCACGGCCTCCCCTCCTCCCACCTCTCTCTCTCCCTCCCAATCCTCCACCACCATGACTTCCCCGGTGCTTCTCCAGCGGGCTCGCCGGCCGACGGCCCGGATTCAGGCTCCTCTAGGCCGGATCGGGCCTCCTCCTCGTCGGTGCGACAACGAGGGCCGGGCGGTCGGGGCCTGGGCGGCGGTCGCCATCTAGCGGATCTGGCCGGCTTTGGTGCCTTCTGCTGCTTCTCTCGTGCCGCTCCTGGGCGGCCAGGGCCAGGGCGGCGCCGGTCTGCGGCCAGATATGGCCGGCCCGTGGCCTGGGGGCGTCCGGCCCCGCGCGCCCCTGGCTCGCTGCGAGGCGGTGGCCGACGGCCGGCTAGGAGGCAGCCAGGTCCGATACAGCGGCGGGTGACGGGTGGATCTGGTCGGCCCACGGGCTGGGGCGCCTGCCCCCTGACATGCTCGCTCGCTGTAGCGGTGGCCCACGGCCTGGGTCGGCTGCCATGCCCAGGTGCCAGCGATCATGGCGCACGACCTCCACCTACCTAGGGCGGTGGCTTGCCTGGCCTGGCTGGCCGGGACCTGGCCGACCTACCCCTGCGGCAGCCAGATTTGGCGTCTGGGCGTAGGCGCTGGCGCTGGTGCCTTCTCTTCGACGGCCGGCCAACGGCTGGATGTGTTGTCGTGTCTAGTGTGCGTGCTGGCGGCCGCGTCTGCACTACTGTTGATGGTCACTAACATCAATTATAAACCGTCAACGTAATATGTATTTATACTTAATTCCATCACCAAACATAGATATAGAGGTTTAAACCAATAAATTCTATGAGTTTTGGTGAATCTGTGTTTTCAGCAGGGTTTATCCAGAAAACTGTCAAGGGGGGAATTATTCATCAAAGGAAATTACGAATTTTCACCGTGTAAACGACGTGGAAAGACTCTAGAAGACTCCAGAATGCGAAGCACCAAAATGGAGCCCGTGTCTTTGATATGTGGGGCCGACCGGCCCCACCTAGATGCCGCCTGACCTGTGGCCCCCCCATGTCAGCCTCCCGTTGCTATGTCAGTTACCCACCGCCTCCTAGATTGCATCTACGCTGTCCTTTAAGTCGGTTTGATCCAAGGGTTCATGTTGGACGCTCCGGCCTATATATACCAGCCCTTGTCATCCTCCCTGGAGCTATCCTGAAACCCTAATTCAGAGCCAGCTATCAAGAGAAGATTAGTCCTCCATAGGATCTAGTCTTGTAAATAATAGTCAGATACAGAGTGAGGGAAGAGTTTGGAGGAGGTGTCGACCTGTCAGTGCTCTCTTTACGGCTTGTACCTTGGCGGATCCAAGTTCTACTTGAGCTTTGCCTTCGAGATATCTTTGGTAATTAACTTTTAATTCGAGTAAACATCTTGTTTATATTGTTCATTAAGATCACGACTCTTTTGAGTGTTTTATTCCAATTCTAGAGGGAGTAGAGTATTAATCGTAAGTGTAAGCGTGGTGCTTAGACTTGGGTTAATCCTGAATGCACTCTGCATTCTAAAATGTGGTAGATGGCGTGAGTGACATAAGTTTTATATAGCCTGTACTATATAGCTTCGTTGATTCTTTGTGGTTCACCTCCCGTCTGTAGGCGTACGTAGGACGCGGTTGCGAAGAAAAGCATTCTCTGCTGGTGTTTTTCCCTAGTAATGTTTCTAGTTGAATAGTAAAAGACATAAGCTTACCCAAGTTAGAATTAGAGAACTTTAGTTATCCTCTCTACGCTTCTATTTATTCTAACCTTGTTGCTATCCTTAGTTAAGTTAGACCGTAGTTAGTCTCACACGTTTCCCTGTGGATATGATACTTGGAATGCCTCCGAGTGAAAGCTACAGCGGTATCCGTGCCCTTGCGGATTTATCTGTGTACGTTAAATATACCAACAACCACCATATGGGGTTCTGGGCGAAGGCTCAGCCCGGCCAGACAATGACGCCTCGAGCGCCGCATACCTCCTTAGAGGCATCGTTTGTGAACCCATACCTATGTACCGACAATGCTGGATTCTAGGCGTAAGCCCCGCCTTAGATGCCTCTAAGGCCAGCGGCGATGGCGTCCACGGTGGTAACCTTGGGCGTCACCCCCTTCCTGAAGGCGTCGTTGAAGAATCACTTACGGCCACTCGCTTGCTCCCCGTGTCATCACCGACATCCGTGGTTCCCGCCGTGTAGCCGACTCCTGGTGAAGTTCATAGCTGAGCCTGTGTGTGCCTATGTTCCACCGCAATGGTTTGTCTTGTAGCACTTGACATCGTCGGCGTCGTTGTAGTAGATGCTTTGCCGATATCGCTTTCTCCTTTGGCGGATGATTTGTCGTCTTTGGCAGATGCTTTGCTTCTGAGAGTGTCATGGCCGCTCCTCTCTACGGATGCTTTGCCATAGGAGGTGTCTTCTTCTCTGACGTATGCTTGGCCGTATGTGGTTCCCTGACGGATGCTTTGCCGCCATTGGCTCGATTGGCCCCCTCTCTGGTAGATGCTTTGCTACCGAGAGTGTGCTGGCCCACTTCTTGGCGGATGCTTTTGCTGCCGTGGTCGCTCGATCTTCGTTGGCGGATGCTTTGCCGCCGTTGCTGCTAGATGCTCGTTCTCTGGGTGGATGCTTTACCACCACGGCTTTGTCTAGTGCGTAGGCAACCATTGCCATTGCGTGTTTGTATCATTTTTACTGCAGGCTCAGTTGGTAGGTCTAGGTGGCGGAGGCTGTCGCTCTATCCTTTTCTTCTTATTGTTCTTATGTTTATTTCAGGTCACTAACCACTACCTTTTGTGGTTTGTGATCTATGCTACGAGGGCTCTCTCGTAGCTGTGTCGTGTAATTCACTCTGCTTAAAGAAAAACGGGCTATATTCCCCGCGGGAAAAAAATTGAAAGAGGGACGCGCGAGTTTCTCAGCACATGGAAAGGCCGGAGTGCGAGTGTGGGACTCCTAGAGCGCAGAGGCCGAGAAACCGTCATTTCCGGTCGTTTCATAGGCAGTCTTTCTCCTTCCTAGGCCTTGTTTAGATTGCAAATTTTTGCAATCTGGACACTGTAGCACGTTTCGTTTGTATTTGACAAACTTTGTCCGATCATGGACTAACTAGGCTCAAAAGATTCGTCTCGTGATTTACAACAAAACTGTGTAATTAGTTATTTTTTTTACCTACATTTAATGCTCCATGCATGCATCTAAAAATTAATGTGATGGAGAGAATGAAAAAACTTGGAATTTTGAGGCAACGTAAACAAGGCCCTATATGCTGCGCTCTGTAATTTTACTACAGAATCTGTTAATCGTGCTGCTGCTGTAGCTACAGTGTGTACAAGCTGACAATTGGCACTCCAGCGTTGAAGGGAAGGTTCTGCCGTTTCTGGCCGCTCTAGCCATCTGCAGTCTGTAGTTTCACCGTTGCAAAGCAAAATCGATGTCCTGCACTAGTAGCTGAAGAATCAGCAGGGTGCTCAGCGACGCGATGGCGAACCATTCTGAATGAAGGCATTCTGCTCACGCACACATGGACGCACAGCTCACAGATGAAGGGCGAAATATTATGACGATTTATTGAGGTCCGCTGCCCCCTGCAGCGATCGGACTACTACAGACACTGACTGATAACGGGTTTACCATTGGAAAAATACGGTGGTAAACGAGAGACGAATCGAATCATTTGTTACAGAAGACTGTTCTTGCCGCTACGGTGGTGGTCGTGCCCCCCCACGGGCGCACCAAGTAAGAGGGAATTGAACGAATGTAATGCGGCGGCCTTGCATTGCTTTGCTTCGGCCCCCCGACCCGACAGACGGACGACACCCTTCATGTGCAGCTCGTTAAACCAGAGCAGAGAGCGCCTTTGGCCTCCTTTCATTGCGCCGCCCGCTCATCGTCGCCATCATCATCATCGCCGTCTCGTGCCTTCAGCTGCAACCCGTCACCTGCTCCACTGCGGTACACCACCAGTACAATGCATTACAGATTAGCTGGACGAGATTTCAATGCTTAGTTGCGTGTGCCTGCCATGCCAGCTTGGCACGGCCAGAAATGCCTGCCATGGCACCGAGCGAGCACATGCGAAGCTCTTAGCTCTGCACGGGTGATGCCGCGTCGGCTGCACATGCGACGTGTTGGTGTTGCTACGGTGGGTTTGGATAGATTTGGGTGCTATGATCGATATGTTTACCTTTGGGAGCGGCGGCCATGACGGTGGGCTTGGAGACGATGGCCGGGACGGTGGTGACGGCGGCGGCGGAGACCGGGGGGAAGAAGTGCGCGGCGGGGACGCCCAGACCCTGCGAGGCGTGGTGGTACTGGTAGTGGTAGAACGGGTACACCGGCATCATGCCGTTGGGCGCCGCCGCCACCAGGCCGCCCTGCGCTGCCGCCGGGTACGCGAAGTGCCCCTGTAGGTACGACCCGGCCGTGCCGGCAGCTGCCGCCGCTTGGCCTACCTTCTGCACCCAAATAACATCACGATTACCACTTTGCCCTCCCAATCTGGCAGTAGCATTTTTTACCGAGTGATAGAAAGACGAGAGATCGAGTGCCTTACCGCATTGTAGCTCAGGTCCGCGACGTAATTCGGGGAGTACCTGAAACAGAACAGCACAAATCGATCGATCAGTACGAGTGGTGGCGGTGGGGACCCGTACAATGCCTGGCACGCAGTATATAACCCGATAGACAGATCAGCCGTGTAGTTTTAAGTGTTTATAACTAGGGTAATGAGCTCCTGAGTCCTGAGTCCCTTGGTCATGGTCTTGTCTAACACATGGCCAGTGTCCAATAGCATACTAGAATTTTTCCCCTCCTTTTTTTTCTGCCGCCGTGCAGGCCGGAACGTGGGCACGTGCGAGCACGACGAGGCAGCGCGGTCCGGTCCAGGTCCAGCCTGTGCGCGGCTGTGCCTGCGCCAGTGCCCCCTCCTGTCCCGTCGCGTGCTCGCAGCTCCAAACCATGCCCATGTTTAGTTACAACCTAAAAAATGCTACAGTAGCCATCACATTAAATATTTGTGGTATGTGCATGGAGCATTAAATATAGATGAAAAAAACTAATTACACAATTTGGTGGAAAATTGCGAGACGAACGTTTTGAACCTAATTAGTCCATGTTTGAATATTAATTACCAAATAAAAACGAAAGTGCTCCAAATTCTAATTCCCTGAAACTAAACACGCTCAAAAAGCCGCTGGCCGCTGCAACGCATGTGTGCGCGCGCCCACTCGGCCGGTCCCCGCCCGCGGCCCGCCGCAAGCCTGGCAACGAGCAGAGGATGCCTGCGAGTGCGCGGGGGTGGACGGACACGAAATCCTCGAAGCCTCGCGGGACGTGTTGGCGGCGCTCGAGGTGCGCGCACGCCAGATCGTAACGGCGCCATGACTTTTTTTTTCCTTCTTGCTAGCGAAACATTGTCGCGCGCGGGGAATTGAAATTTGGAGCTGGGAGCGCGCGGACTTACCCGTAGGTGGTGGCGGCGGGGTAGAATGGGAGCACGCCGTGGTACTGCTGGTGAGGGCGGTGGGCGTAGTGCGCGGCCGGCGGCGGCGGCGGAGGGGGCGTCGTGGAGGGGTGGTAGTACCATGGCACCGGCGACACGCCCCTGGATCCCACCGCGACGGCTGCAAGTGAATTCGCGCCAGAAACAAGTGATCTCTTGTCAGGAAATAAGAGCAGTTGACGTGAGAGAGGCTGGCGGCGGGTGCAGCTACCGTACTAGCTAGAGTATGTACCTGGCGTGGGCTGGTTTGGGGAGGGGAGCGCAGGCGCGTGTGGCGCCGGGGTGGCCGGCGGCGAGGGCAAGGGGTGGAGGATGTGCGGCGGCTGGGGCCGCGGCTTGGCGCCGAGGGAGGCGAGGTTGCAGTTGGCGCGGCGCCTGTTGATGACGGGGGTGGCGTCCTCGCACGCCTTCTTGGCCGCATCCGCCTCCTTGAACGTCACCTGTCGTGCCGCGTGCATGCAAGCAGGTTGCGGGTCAGAACGCTTCGTCGAGAGCGCGGAAACCAGAAGGAGGGGAAGGGATGGAGAGGAAGCAGGGGGGACTGACGAAGCCGTAGCCCTTGGAGCGGCCGGTGAGCTTGTCGGAGATGATGACGGCCTCGAGGATGTCGCCGTAGCGCTCGAAGTGCTCGCGGAGGGTGTCCTTGTGGGTCTCCCACGCCAGCCCGCCCACGAACACCTTGGTGAGCGTGGTGTCCCCGAACGCCGCCCCCGCCGGCGGCTGCTGTGCCAGCGGCAGTGGCTGCGGATGCGGCGCCATCATCGTCATTGTCGCCCGCGGCCGGGGCCCCGCGCTACGCCTCCTTTCTTTTCTTGACGACGAGATGTGTGTGCGCCAAGGGAATGCAAACGGAGGTCGGAGGGAGAGGAGAGGCGACTGGTTGAGGAGAGGGGCTGTGGGGTTTTATATAGCGCCGGAGTTTATAATTCGGAGGGAGGGAGAAGGAGAGCGTGGTGGTTGGGCGGGCGGATAACGGAAACAGGAGAGCCTAGTCTACTCCTAGTCTGCCGTCTGGTCCTCTAGCCTGGGGCGCTTCCTTGGTTTAGCCTGGCAACAATTGGTAAGAGAAAAATCTGCCTGATTTGGGCTGGCTAGAGGACCAGACGGCAGACTAGGAGTAGACTAGGCTCTCCTGTATAGTGTGACTTAGCATTTTATTTATGTGAATTATTGGAGGCTTAAAAGAGAGTATAATTAGTTTTTGAGTCATAATCCCCATCTTCTTTTTACGTCTAAACGAGGGCCTGCCAACAATTGGCGTCTGCCCTGGCGCCCCATGTGACTCTCTCCCTCTCTCTCCCCAGTCCTCACCTGCAGCTCTGCAACTGTAACAGAAAAGGCCTGCGTGTCGTCTTCTCCCTCTCGCAGGTTAACCACAACCCTCTCGCAGCTGACCACGAAGACAGATGCGGTTTTAACCGTCGTGCAGTGGGTAGTAGTAATTACTGGTACACGGCGTGACAATGCTAGGAGATGATCGCTCATTTCGGCCGGCCGGGGCGGAGACAAGAACAGATGGGCGAGGTGGCCAGCCAAACGGATCATCGAGGAGGTGGTGGGCGAGCTGTAAGAGCGGGTGGGAACAGCTGCCTTCGCAGTTTGCCTTTACCACACAACGTGCTGATGCCTATCTCCCCTTGCATTAATCTAGCGGCCACTCTGAAAAGGAATCCTTTCCATTTGCTTTATCCTCCGTAAGTAGTAGCAGCAGCAGGTATTATACTCTGTACACTGGTAGTCGTAAAGCGCCGACGCGTATTTTAATGGGGAATATATACATTAGCGTACACGGTACACCACAAAAAGACATCCATACCAAAACTGCAGCACGTGATGGGCTGAGGGCGAAGTGTAGGATCGTTTCCTGACAAGAAAACATACCACAAGTTAGTCTATATACAGCCATGACCGATGATGATGAAGTATGGCTACGCTACCCTACGTACGATTATCCAGATATATGCCATGCATATGCCGATAAGCGGCCAATCGCGGGTTTATACGTACTGATGGCAACAGCCACTATGTTCGCGCGGACGTACACGCGACAGGGCCATATGGCCATACCCATACGTGAGTCTCCAGGTCTCGACCGAGAACGGAGCTGCCAGCTGGCCCGGGGATCCCAAGGATCCTCGACCGCCCGTGTCACAACTAGTGTTCCCGTAGACCTCAACGCCGTTTCAGCAGATCCTGCATCTTGTTCAGCCCATCTGTACGTGGCACATGATTCTAAAAAAAAACTGTACGTGGCACACCTCAAGCAACCGGGCGGATGCGCGTCACGAAAAGTGGACAAGGGCAGCCCAGCGCCCCAGCCGGGCAGTGGGGTGGCCCAGACCGACGCTAGCGGCTAGCGCGCTAGCTAGCTATAGGCAGGACGCGCGGGATCTGGCGTCAGCCCGAGCGCGCGATCGCGGTATGCCATGGCCAAAGGCAGCACAGCAGGCCAAAAGCAGATCGATCGAGCAGTTCCGGTGAGGGTGACGCCAACGCGGGGCCTCCGAGGTATGAAGCGCGGTCCCGGTCGGAAAACCCCTCGCTCCTCGATCGCACGTGAGAGAGGGCCCAAAACGGGTCGCGTGACCGTCCTCCCTGTCCGGCTGTCCCTCGGCAGATAGATGGTCGAGATCGACGGATCCGTCGATCGTCGCTGATGCCGATTGGCACCACCAGTCCGCTGCCACTGCGCGTGTGCCGGGACAGGCTGCCTATAGCTAGCGTGCGTACACAGCAGGCTGGATGGGTTGCTGGTCCGGTGGGTGTGTGATCGACGATTCCACGTACGCGGCTCCTGCATGTGCATGCATGATGCTGATGCTGCCGTCGTCGTCGCTGATGCCGATTGGCACCACCAGTCGATGAAGCCATTTTGCTCTAAAGGGGCCACTGCGCGTGTGCCGGGACAGGCGAGGCCTTTTTATTTACCGTGGCGGACGTTTTTAGCGTGCGTACACAGCAGGCTGGATGGGTTGCTGGTCCGGTGGGTGTGTGATCGACGATTCCACGTACGCGGCTCCTGCATGTGCATGCATGATGCTGATGCTGCCGTCGTCGGTCAGGGCCTCTCTCTGGTCCTCACCCTCTCTCTGTCTCCCACCGAGCAGCCCCGCGCAAGACTCCTCCTTCTCGCTCATCGGCATAGCGCCGACACGCCTCCTCCTCTCCCTTCCCTCTCCACCTCTCTCGGCTCTCATGGCGTGAAGGGACCACGCCATGCATGGCGTGGGGTTGCACGACTCCCCTTGGTGTGGCGGCGGGCCGCTCTCCCTTCATGGGGCGGGGTGGCGGGTCGCGCCCTTGCATCATGAGCTTGAGCTCGAGGTGGCGAAGCAGCTAGGGTTTCAGATCCATCGACCGGCTCGGTGAAGGTGTTGCTCGTCTCTTCGCGTTGCCCTCTTGATGTTGCTCACTCTTCTTCCTTCTTGAGATCCGGTGAAGGAAGCCGTGAGCGATCAGGATCTGGAGGTGGAGGCAGGCCACACCCATATCGCGGGCCACTGCGGATCTGGCGCGAGGAGGTGGAGGCGATCGGATCTAGGGACGACGACGACGACGAAAGATCCCGGCGCAGGGTTTTGACGGCTACGATTGGGCTTGGTGGCTTGGGAAGCAGGCGAAGTAACGGAAGCTCGGATGCCGCCATCGCCGTGGGCTCGGATGTGAAGCTCGCCGGCTGGCTCCTGGTTTTTGTTTTTTAAATGGGGCTTGCGTAGGAGGGCATGCATCCTAACGTCTTTTGGCAACGCGCAGGCCATTGCACCGCCGCCTGTGATAAATTAATGTGGTGGGCAGTGTGTGTGAAAACCGAAAAACGCCCACCAGAAAAGTTTGTGTACGGCGCATGTGTAGTGAGGTGTGTATGCACATGTACGTGTAGAGGTAGATGGACGGCGGCGGCGGCGGCGGCGGCGCCGAGGCGAGGATTCAATCATCCCGCTGGCCGCTGGTAGGCCAGGACTTTGTGGACATTCCCGGCCGTCTTCTTACCAGCCGGCCTGCCTAGGTACTGCACGGAAAGCTGCGAACGAAGGGCCTTGAACTTGAAGCTGCCAGTCGGCATACGGGAAGCTCGCAAATGCATGGATTGAAGCCTGGCAAGCACGCCTCGCGTGAGCACGCGGATATATAAGGACATGCATGCGAGAGTGCATATATTGTACTCCAGCTGAGTCAAGGCGCACGGACGAAATACCGTACGAAGTATCAACACGGTTGCATTGCACGCTGAAGATCCATTTCCTTCTCGTATGCAAATTAAGCAACCGTTTCGTTTACAGGTTTAATTTGTTGTCAGGGCATGCAAGACCGGCGTCCTTTGGAGAAAGCTCGTCGTCGTCGTCGGTTAATGAAGCTCCGATCCAACTATTTCAATTTCAAAATGAGGTCAAGAGCCGACAAATTGTCAAAGGATCATGGAGATATGCCGTTTCGCTCAGATGGGAATCTCGAATTTCTTAGCCTAACGCCGTGATAGTATAAGTACGTGCCGAATAAAACGCCACTGCACCGACCCCTGCTGTGTTACAGAAGCAAAAGAGTTACATCGTACTATCAGAAAGATACGACGACGCAGTTTTGGACGCAAGGGGGCGTACTACCTACGCTGATTTAGACGGCAGCAACGAATGTGGCTCAGTGGCTGGCGTTTGGCTCGATTACTCCTTTTATGCCTTCTCTGCACCACGATCTAACGCCGATGTAGCTGTTGGATGCCTGTGCTGTGCACACATGCATGTGGATGTGAATCTCTCGTCTAGCTCATCAGCGCGTGCCTCCATCTGTTTACGCTTTCCAATGCATTGGTCAGTGGCATTATTTTGACCGAGTAGGAGCGTAGACATGCAATATCATACTATCAGCAATCCAAAGCTATGGATCAAGGTAAGCTATATATCAGCAATAATACAGCCTCCTAAAAATAGCAAGCGCCTGCCCCGCACCCGCAGGCCGCAGCACCGCCGCCTGGTTCGTTAACCATGTCTCATGTCTGCACGCGTACCGCGGTCACACGTCCGGTGTGGGGCGTCCGACATCAGCGCAGCAATAGCAGCATCGATCGCATGCTTGCCAGTGCAGAGCTGCAGAGGCCGCATATGACCGTGACCAGATCCACGAGCGTACGTGACGCCACTCTCGTCGCCTCGCCTGCCAACGGCCCCCCTCCGCCGCGCGGCCAGGACACGCCGGGCGCGTCAGGATGGGCGGGATTGCGGGAACCCGGCCAGCCACTGGTCCGCCCGCGGTGGTGGCGCACACAGCAAGTGGCCGGGGGCGGGGCACATGCTCCCTCGTCCACGAGAATCTCTCCAGCACCACCATGCATCTCCCTGGCCTCGGCTCTCTCTCTCGCCTCCGCGCGCCCACCCACACTGCTGCCCTCTCTGCCTTGCGTGGCCACAACGTGGACAACTGTAACCGGATCAGTTGCCTGGCACCGGCAGCCGGCAGGGCATCACAGCGCTGGACTAGTGGACTGCACTGCACAGTGCACACTCGAGATCGATCCATGGATCGATCATGGTGGTATGTTTGACTGGACCGAGGATCGGCCGGAGGAGACCCGCGAGGAGCTAGCACACACGGTAGGGACAAGGCTGCGTGGGAGCTAGCTGTAAGACCTGAGCCGTGAGCTGGCGGCAAAAGAAGAGGGGCGAAGGAAAGAAAGAGGACATTATTATTACACTAAACAACACCAGGGTAATCATCATCGGATGGGGATTAGAAAAGCTGCCAAGACGGGCACTGGGGCAGCAGCGCAGCAGCCA